TTGGTCGGCCATCTTGGAATTTATAACGACTGCCACCGGCAAATAAACGATATATAATTAAGAATTCCTTTGTATGGGACCTTAACCTTAAATTAAAATGGCTGGATGGTAATCAATTTTTGAATAAAAGATTCAAGTGGTATTGGTCAGCCATCTTGGAATTTATAATAACTGCCACCGGTAAATAAAGGGAAGATAATTTAGAATTCCTTTGTATGGGACCTTAACCTCAAATTAAAATGGCTGGATGGTAATCAATTTTTCAAAAAAAGATTCAAGAGTTATCGGTCAGCCATCTTGGAATTTATAATAACTGCCACCGGTAAATAAAGGAAAGATCGTTAAAAAATGCTCTGGCTGGGTTAATAATAACCTTAAATTCAAACTATTAGATGGTAGTAAATTCCGAAGGAAGTTTCTCCAAGTTCCAAGTTGTACCGATCAGCCATATTGGCCAACCTTAAAAACGACCGCAGCTACTCGTCACCTGGCTCGGATCTCCTTTTCTGCCTGCAATATATAACAAGTGACAGTCTTCTCGACACAAAACGTTAGAATCACAAGGTAACTACTTCACCCAGCTTCGAGTCCAACGAAAAATTAACCAAAAATGACGATAAACTTGGTAAAAAAATAAGCTACCTACGCGATAGGAAACCGAGGCAAAACGAAAGAACTTAAATACGATTCCACTTCTGGTCGAAATCGCCACGAGGTGTCACATGTGAGAAACGAACCTCGCGATGAACCTGGCGTTCTCTGAACAGCGTTCGCCACGTTTCCCTTAGAACTACGCGATACTTCGCAGGCGATATTCTCTATATTTACACGGTTTTGGGGATGGAGTGGTTTCGTTGGGACGATTAGTAGAGATTCGCGGTTTTCAGGGGCAACGGGTCTAGCAGATAAGGTGGTAGCGCCGCGGAGAAGGGCCTCGGGCTGCACGATCCCCATGCACCGCCGCCACCGTTGCTTCCTCGCGTGTTGGGCGTGCTGCCATCCGTGGAACCATCCGCGGTGTGCTTCACGCTGACCAGATTCGGATTGGCGATCGGTTTCACCTCGTTCGAGGATAGGACGCTGTTGGAGCCACCTGGCGGCGTCGCTGGACTTCGTGGCGAGCGACCCTCCGCCTTCACGTTGCTCGCCACGGGACTGGAGGCGCCACTGTCCACCCCGATCCCGCTCTGGGAGTTCGATTTCTGCTGGGCGAGCCTCTCCTGCTTTCGGAACTTGGCCCGTCGGTTCTGAAACCACACCTGCAATCACAAACATCCTGTTGTTAGATCCGATGTAAAGTTTGGGGGAAATTTGATATCGGAGATAAGAAATTTGGACCGTGGCAAATATTGGGTTGTCTAGCTTTATATTGGCTTTCGCTGCGAGACGATGAAATGGGTGGGTAGTAACCCAATAAATATGTATGATGGCCTCTGTGCATTTATCGTAGAGATATTTG